GGTGGGCCTTAAGAGGTGGGACTTATTTACTATAGTTTTGGTCCTGAACTTTCAATTGGATTAAAACTTGGCTATCTTAGTCAGTAATCAGCATCTCACTGAGCACATATTTGAAGGGAAGGTACATTTTTACTGGGGGATGGGACCTGTGGAGGGGCAGACAGTGGACTGAGCTGCTTTCCCATATTGATAATCTTGTGAGTTTTAGGACGATGGAAGGGTTGTAGGTAGAAGAAGGTCTGTAATCTTGAGGAAACTTGCTAATGCTACTCCCTTGTGATTTCCCCCTGGCTTTGCTTCACAGGCTCTGAAACCTCCTTCTGAACTACTAACTCATGTGGAAATACATTTGTAAGTACTGAGCAGCTAAACTAGATTTTCAAACAATTACTTCACGCCTGTCATGCCAGGGACTCAGGCCCCTCCTTCATCTAAGACCTGGACAGCCTTGATCCAGCTCTGCTTGTCCAGGTTCTTGTTACTGGTGTTCACGTACTAGGGTCCTGAATATCGCCGAACAGGTTCTGTGTACTCTTCAGCCCTTTCAAAGTAAAGGCATGAATAAAAAAACTAAATGGGAACGCATCCATACAAATATGTAAATAACGCCATTTGTGATGAATAGTCCAGCTCAAGTAACAGGAAAGAAACTGCTGAGGAGCTCTGAGATAGTCTTTGCATGTTGGGGTGAATTTGTTAAAAGCTCGCCTGCCTCCACTCCTAGCCCAGAACTTCCATGACGTGTTATGTGCTGAAGTGACTTCTCGTTCATTGCTGCAGCCGCCAAGGAGTCACCGGCCCTTCTGGTTGCATGTCTTTTCAATGACTTCATAGCGACTTGGCATAGTCCTGCCTGGACATCCCCTCTTCTCTCAGGGACTGCAATTAAAGTCCCAGTTTTTGTTCATTTCGTATCCTCCGTGAGCTCTTTATATAAATAGTGACAGGATGGAGAGGGAGCAGCGAACAGGATGTTGGGGGTTGAGGAGAAGTTTGGAAACATAGGCACGTGGGAGTTCTTAGTACAGAGGCAATTGCCTTTCTATAGTCACTAAATTTTCCTCACTCACCATGGCATGATTCAACCACACTGGAAAGATAGCATCGAGGGCCTTCGGGAAAATAAGTTCTCGATCGTACAGAAAGAGCATCCAGAATGTCAAAAATACAAACTGGAAAAGAAAACATAAAAATAGCATTAAGTTTGTTTTCAGTCAGAGCTTTCTAAAATAACCAAGGAAACATAGCAAACTAAAAATAGATACCCATTTTAAAG